TAGAGTAGCAAAACTTGTTTTTCCTTATAAAACTTTGTATATACGTAAAAACATTTTTTCTCCTGCCGTTTTTAATGATTTAATTACTTTGAAACCTACCGATAAATACTCTCTAAGAAATAACAACCTTCTATATAAGCCTTTTTGTCGAACAAGTTTTAACCAATTTTGCATTGATTATTGTGCACCCCATCTTTGGAACAAAATTGTTTTGCCTAATTTTAATTTTGATCTACCTACTTCTTTGCATCTTTTTAAAGTTAAGCTGAAAAATCTTTTTCTCTCCCGTATTATCAAAATTTGACAATAATATTTATATTATGGAAATATTTATTAAACTTTATTATATATACTACAAAGTGATATATGTCTGTATATTCTATTTTTATTTTGTTGTACTTATAGTTACTTTATAATATAATATTTTGTTTAACCTAGTAAAAGGTTCTGACGATAAGATCTTACTGATCCTCTTTCAGATACCTAGTTTTTCAAATGTTAGTAGTATTTGCTTACTTTATAATTTGTATTAATATTTTATTTACTCTCATTATATTGTAAAAACGAACTAACCAATGTAAACTAAACTAAAATATTTAAATATTTTTTAACATTTTAATGAGCTCTAAAAAAAGTTTTTTCATCATTTTATTGTGCACGCTTAGGTGTCTAGAATTTTAAAGTAAACTATGAAATATTTATAACTTTCAAGTGAACCCTGAAATTCCTATTATTAAAAGGTTTATCGTAAGATTTATCCGTTTTAGGTGCACTACAAAGTATTTTTTATTTTTAGATGCACCCTAAAGTGTTTATCATTTTAAGGAGAATGCTAATATGTTTATTAAATGTTTATTTAATATGAACCCCCTAATCTTTGCCATTGTAAGAACAGTGGCAAGTTTTAGTGGAGTAGATGTAATAGTAACAGCTTTACCCCCCCCCTCCCCCACTCTCATTGGAACATTTTTTCAAAATATTTTATCTAAAACCAACAAATATTCTAAAATCGACTTTTATATTAATGAATAAAATGACTATAATACTGTCGAATGAAATTTTAAAACAGAAGCGCTGTTATACACACTCAAAATATATAAAATTGCTGTTTGAGGTCGAAGAAAAACATGCTTAAGTCAAAAAAGTGCGTCTAATCGCACTCAAGTATATATATTGAATTTAATTATATAATTGAAACCTAAAATATTTATGATTTTTAGGTTCATCTTAAAGTATTTCTCATTTAAAGGTGCATTCTAAAGTGTTTATGTGTTTTATATGCACTCTAATGAATTTAAAATTAAAACGTGCTTCCCAAAATCTCTATTACTAAGGTGCATTTTGAAATGATTTGAATCTCATTTGAAATTAACAAATATTCTAAAGTTGACTATTATACTGGTGAATAAAATGACTATAATACTGTCAAATGAAATTTTAAAACTGAAGCGCTATGATACGCAATCAAAATATATAAATTTGCTGTTTTAGGTTGAAGAAAAACATGCTAAAGTCAAAAAAGTGCGTCTAGTCGCACTCTAGTATATATATTGGATTTAACTATATGATTGAAACCTAAAATATTTATGATTTTTAGGTGCACTTTAAAGTACTTATCATTTAAAGGTGCACTCCAAAGTGTTTATTTGTTTTAGACGCACTTTAATGAATTTAAAATTATTACGTGCTTCCTTAATTCTCAATTACTAAGATGCATTTTGAATGGATTTTTAGTTTAGCTTTACCCTGAAGAATTTGATATTTTAAGATGCGCCATGAATCTTTCCTTAATTTTAATGCGCTCATTTCTATATTTTACATAAGAATGTGTTTAACTTAAGAAGTGTTTATGGCTAATAGATGCAACCTGATAAAATTTCTTTTTTAGGTTCACTTTGAATTATTTCAAAGTGCGTTTTAATGTATTTTTTTTCTTCAGGTGCATCTTATAGTATTTATAGTTTTAAAGTGTATTGTTAAGTGTTTATCAGCCTTGACTATTATCATTTTTAAATGCATTTTAAGCTAAGGGCATGTAAAACTAACAGCCCCACCCACCCACCCCTCTCATTGTAACATTTTTTCGAAAATAATTCATCTAAAATCAACAAATATTCTAAAATCGGGTATTATACTGATGAATAAATTGACTATAATACTGTCGAATGAAATTTTAAAACTGAAGCGCAATTATACGCACTCAAAATATATAAAGTTGCTGTTTTAGGTCGGAGAAAAACATGCTAAAGTCAAAAAAGTGCGTCTAGTCGCACTCTAGTATATACATTGGATTTAACTATATGATTGGATTTAACTATATTTCTCAATTAAAGGTGCACTCTAAAGTGTTTATCTGTTTAGACGCACTCTAATGAATTTAAAATTAAAACGTGCTTCCTAAAGTCTCTATTACTTAGGTGCATTTTGAAATGATTTGAATCTCTTTTGAAAATAACAAATATTCTAAAGTCGACTATTGTACTGGTGAATAAAATGACTATTATATTTTTAGGTTCACTTTGAATTATTTCAAAGTGAACCTAAAAATGAACTCTAAAGAAAGTTTTTTCATCATTTTAATGTGCACGCTTAGGTGTTTAGAATTATACTGATAAATAAAATGACTATAATACTGTCGCATGATATTTTAAAACAGAAGCGCTATTACACGCACCTAAAATATATAAATTGCTGTTTTAGGTCGAAGGAAAACATGCTTAAGTCAAAAAAGTGCGTCTAGTCGCACTCTAGTATATATATAGGATTTAACTGTATGATTGAAACCTAAAATATTTATGATTTTTAGGTGCACCTTTAAGTACTTATCATTTAAAGGTGCATTCTAAATTTTTTTTCAGTTTTAGACGCACTCCATTGAATTTAAAATTAAAACGTGCTTCCTAAAGTCTCTATTACTAAGGTGCATTTTGAAATGATTCGAATATCATCGAAAGTCGACTATTATTCTGGTGAATGAAATGACTATAATACTGTCGAATGAAATTTTAAAACTGAAGCGCTATTATACGCACTCAATATATGTAAATAAATGTATTTTTACGGAAGTGTTTCTTTTTACGGAATTTCATTTTAGGTGCGCTCATGCCTATATTTCTTAAAGATGTGCTTAACTTAAGAAGTGTTTATGACTTATAGATGCACCTTGATAAACTTATATTTTTTAGGTTCACTCTGAATTATTTCAAAGTGCGTTTTAACATAACTCTTTTTTTAAGGTGCATTATATTTTATTTATAATTTTAAATTGTATTATCAAGTGTTATCAGCCTTGACTATTATCATTTTAAGATGCATTTTAACGAAAACCTCCGCGTAAACGAGCCTATTGTCTCCTACTTTTGTTTTTAAATTCTGAAATATTTATCGTTTTTCGATAAGAGTTTTTTTTTTTAACTTTTTACTGAGCTCTAAAGGCCGTTTTCCACAAGACGAAATATTTGCGCGAAGCGAATTTTTCTTCATTAAGCATGCGCAGGTTAAACATTTTTGGCAGTTATGCTCTTTTTTTTTCGCTACATCGTTTTGCTGCTGCGAAAAAAAAATGTCGAAATTATTTTGACTTTTTGCGAATCGCCAGAAGTAAAAACCGATCAAGGTTTGAATATTATATCATGTGATGTCAACAGTAGAAAAAAGCGAAAACACGTTGTTTTTTAAAAAAGAAAAAACAAAATTAGCCTGACGTTCTTATTGCTTTTAAATGAATTTTAAAAATTGGCAAGCATGAGTAAATTCATTAAATAAGAATTAAGACTTAAATCAATAATTTACAAATGTAAAGTTTTACACTGTTAATTACGAAAGTTTCACTTCATAAGAATGTTTATCTTCAAGTGATGTGAGTTACTTGAAAAATTCCTTGTATTAAATCATTATGTTACAAAATATATATCACATCGTACATATAAAGACAGAAATGGTAATATTAATGCATGGAAAGAAATATCCACATGGTTTAAAGTAGAAAGTATGCTAAAAAAGATATAATTGGTTTTAGTTACAGGGTTATTTATTCTTATATACGCGTCTATTCATTTTTATATGCGTGTTTATTCATTCTTATATGCGTTCTTACAAGGGCATTTATTCATTTTTATATGCGCATTTATTCATTCTTATATGCGTGCTTATTCATTCTTATATGCGTTTTAAAAAGCTATTCGAATTTTATAAAAAAAATTATTTATTCTTAAATGCGTTTTAAAAAAGCAATTTGATCATTTACAAATAAGCAATTTGTTTTGAAACAAGTAAGCGACTTGTTTTGAAAAAATAAATTGTTTTTTCAAAACAATTTTTCCTAAATGATGTTAAAAATACTTGAGAGGAAGTCTATTTACGTTTGATGATGGTTTATTAAATTTAGTATTAGTTCTTTATTTTATTTTATTATTAAGGTGGTACTAAAGCATTAAAATCATTAAAAAAACGATTTTGGGATTTTTATTTCAATATATGTAGAATTTAATGCTGGTTTCAAATATGTATACCCGTTGTGCACATCACTGTTGATTTAACGTTGATTGAGTGTTTCCGAGCAGTGTTGATTCACCGTTGACTGAGTGCAGAGTTTTGTTAACATTTGCAACGGTGTTTTACAGTTGCTCAATCAACGATGAATCACTGATCCTTTGTAATTGTTAACTTAACGTTGATTAAATGCTTTTAAGAAGTGTTGATCAGCCGTTAACTGACTGCGGAGTTTCGTTAACATTTGCAACGGTGCATTAAGGATTTTTTACCGTCGATATTATTTAATTAGTACTATTTTGTTAAATATCTTTAGCATTAATTCCAATGAATAAGAACTAAATTTTATTTGTAATTTATCTTAAAAGAACACCCTAATAATAATGCCTAATAGACCCTTGATGATTTTCAAAAATTAATTAAACTATTAATTAACACTATTTCTTCCGTTTCTATTTATCTAGTAAATAATTAGAAACAGAAAAAATATTAAATTAACAAGCAAAATATTTTCTGCATTTTCAAATTTTTTTCAATCAAAACGATGTTATTTTATTGTTATTCTGTCATTTGACGTTTAAACAGTGTGCCATGCATACGTAGCCACTTTCCTATTGCGGTTGTTATATCGCTATCTTTCGCTGATTCGTCTTGCAATTTGATGGCATCTTAAAAAAAAAAAGAGAATAGAAACAAACAATGATACATCGTATTAAATATATATATACTAAACAAGGTGTCTGCCAATATTTTAAGATGGATTTCCATGACTTTTCCCTGTTTCTTTACCTGTTCTCCCTTTAAAGCTACAAAAGCTTAACTTATAATTATTTTAGAAAAATACTTTTAATTGCATATATATATATATATATATATATATATATATATATATATATATATATATATATATATATATATATATATATATATATATATATATATATATATATGTATATTATAACCTACATTTCAAGTATTATTAGAACGCCATGAAAAAAATACAACTGACAGTTCATGAGATTTTGCCACAGAGCCGAATTTCCTTGATTTCTACTTGATTTTCAAAATTTCTCAACACAATTTCCCTGATTATTCCATGATATTATTGCAGAAATCTGAATTCCCTGACTTTTCCCTGATCTGGCGAAACCTTGTTTTAATGGGCCGGATTAATGAAAAATGTGCTCCATGTTTATTAGAAGCCCTACAGCATTAGTGGTGGATTACCCATTATGCAAACTAGACAGTTAGCATATAGACCTTAAACATTAGCGTAAATAAAATTTTAAAAATAATTTTAATAGTGTTAATATTATTATACATTTATTTTTGTAAACAAAAAAAAAAAATTATAATTTCTTTTTTAATTTACTTACTGAAAGAAGGCTCTCTATTAACAATATTACATCTAACAATATAAAATTTATTCGTACATATTTTTTTGTAGTATGAATTAGGCTCTAAAAGAATAATTGTGCTAAGATCCTAAATGACTTAATCCGCCTTAAATCCAGCACATTTGATGACAACTAATAGAGCACTTTTTAGAATTTAAGGGTCAAAATAACGAGGTAAAACTTGCAAATACTTAAAGATGTACTTACTAATTATAGCAGAAAATAATATTGGGCACTTTTCACAAAATGAGATTTTCTGAGAACTGCCTTTTATATTAAAGTGGCTAGAAGCCTCGTCACTCATCCCTTTTTTCATAACATTGTATGTAATATCTATTGTAGATTTTCCACCCACATTACATAATGATTCTACCTGCAAAATAGAAAAAAGACTTTACTATAAAAATGATACAAAATGTAAGGAGAAAAAATTAATTTAAGTGGAAAACTAAAAACAATAATGTATAATTTCTCACTGCAGAATCCTTTCTTTTACTATCAGCTGAAAGAAAAACTTCCAGATCCAAGATTTCATCAAATTGCAGTTTTGATAGATGTAACGGTTTGACTAAAATTTTTAAATCATTCTGCTTAAATGAGGCTTTAAAGTCATTGAAGTTTTTTTCTAGACGTGCTATTGCTGCTAACATTGTTCGTTTAAAAGCTTTACAGAAATTAAGATAAATATAATTCCAACTATGTTAATTTACACAAGCTACAACATAATAAAATTACAAAAATAAAATTGCAAGATTTGATCAAAAAGAAATATTAATTCAACTTTTTCTTACTCTGATCAGAAATATAGTCTTTATTTGTTTCCCCAGCACTTTTACCAATTTCTTTTTTAATTATTTTTTCACAAGTTAACTAAAAAAATAAGTTATCATTGAGTTTGCAGATAATCACAATAAAAACCAACAAAAATATTTTTTAAAAGAATTCAATTACACAGGCAACTCAATATTATGAAATTCAACATTACTGACCCCTTCACTGGAACTAATTGTTGCTGAATTGTTGTATGAGTATACACAAGAAGAACCATCATCTATAATTTATCATTAATGCATTGTTAGTCCATCAGTATGAGAAAAAAACCAGAAAAAAACCAAACCTTTATGGAACTATTGTTACCGTCTAATTTTGGAAATGGTGTACTGGAAAAACTGACTTCATCGTCACTTGTGTCTATATAACTCAATTTCTTTGTTTTCGATTTTCTTGCATTAGCTAATCTTTTTTCTATAAATGTAAAAAAAAGCTAAGTTTAAATTGTTTTTACTTATTTTTTGTTGAATATTTTGATTACTTCAATAATACCAGGACTAGTTGTGGTTATCTTTACTAATACTAGTAACATTCAATAAAATCTGATTCAAACCAAAACATTTTCACACAAAAAAAAAACACTCACCTGATTGCTTTTGATAGGCAAATGAATCTATTTGGTTGTATTTCCTTTTCCCCAATTGCGAATTGTGGTCAGATTCAGATTCTGAGCATGTTTTAATTGATTCACAATTTATGTAACTGTCTAAAAATGTACTAACATACATAAATAAAATTTATTTAAATCTAGTACTATTTTGATAAATAATGAATTGAATATATAAATATTATAAATACCTGCACTCCCGAAATGTTGAACTAAAACAAAAAACAACCAATTAATGCCAGGATTTTGGCAACGCTTTATGTACGGCTCTACATCTTTAGCATTGCAAGGCCAACGAATAAACTCTTGCCCTTCTTCTTTTTCAATCCAGTTTGTTGGAACCGTCCCATACTGGATTTTACTAGATCCATTTGCATGTGGTTCTATCCATTTTACTTTTGAAAACGCCATAATTAACTAAAAATTACCAAAATTGCAATATATTTACAAAAAAAACTTTATTTATGTAATAAATATTTAAAACCATTTATCAACATATATAATATATAGATACACACACACAAACACACACAAAGAAATATATATTTATATATATTTATGTATATATATGTGTATGTATATATATATATATATATATATATATATATATATATATATATATATATATATATATATATATATATATATATATATATATATATATATATATATATATATATATAATGCTTTCTTGCGGGGACTTTTTTAGCAAAAAAGGTGTTGTTTGCGGGGACCGGTTGCTTACGGGGACATAAATCGGTCCCCGTTAATTTCAGGCTTGATTTAATAACTTCTGCGCGATTAAAATGTCTTTGAATTATCATTGTATATAAAGTAGACCATACTATTATTGTTATAAAGTTAATATTCGTCCTTTAAATGTTGTTTTTCATTAGTAATTGGCTTTGCTATTTCGGGTATGTATATTTAATAAAAAGCGAAATCCATTGGTTTGTGCACTTACGGGGACAAACTAGAAAATGATTTTTTGCATGTATCATGTATATATATCTTACTTTTTTTTTTTGAAAACTCTTTTATCTTTTTAGAAAAATTAAATAAATATTAAAAAAAGTATTGAACTATAATCTAATCATGAGTTTTTAAGAATATTTTTTTTCACACTTGAAAGTTTTTTTTTCAAACGCGAACATGCGAACTTGATTTAAAAACGCATTTAAAAATGTAAACAAAGGAAACGATAATGTTTTTTTTACTTTGACATTGACTTTATTTTTATATTATTAGGATTGATTTATGTTATTTTTGTATTTTGACTTTAAATATAACTACTTTACAGATATTACAACATGACTTAAATTTTTTTATTTTTGTAAGATGTTAAAATCCTTATGATATTATAGTATCTTAAACTTCAAGATTTTATAATATCACCAAGATGTTTTTATAAAAGATGTTTATGATACATATCACACATTTATAATATATACAAAAAAAATATTTATGATATATTATTTATAATATATTATTTAGTAAGATATTCATAATATATTTTATCCTGCTTTAGTTATAAATACTTTACTGTCAGTAAAGATAATTTTTACTAACCTAAAAGTATTCATAATTAAAGTATGGTATAAAATATTAAAAATATCTTTAACAAATAAAATATTTATAATATCTTTGTGATATTATAATATAGTATGATTTCTTTTTAATATCTTTGTGATATTATAATATAGTATGATTTCTTTTTTGTATCTTCTAACTGTAATGCTGTCCATAAGAGAGTTTTTAAGTGAAAAATATTTTTCTAGAGTGTAAAAATAATAAAATCTGTTTAAGTCTATTATTATTTGTATCAAGTTTTATTTTAGTTTATGTAAATATTAATCAACAAAAATGAATTTTATTTATAACCAATGATTTTTTATTATTCCATTTTGTAACATAAATGATGTTGAAAGCAGAAGTTTGTGCAAGTTTTAGATAAATTGATGAATAATATATACATAGAAATCTTCGTTTAAAACCCTATGTCAAAATATATATTTTATTTTATTTTGTATATATTTAAATTTAACAAATAAAGTTATTTAATATAATCTTTAATTTAACTTTAAAAAATCTAGCTAGCATTACAAAAAAAATCAGTTTTTCAAGTTTGCTATTTTTTATCAATAAAATAATGTTATGGTCAGAAGAATAGACAATCGAAAAACGTGTTATATTGTTAATTAAACTTTCTATTGATTGTAACGATTATTTTACTGATTATTCAGGGTTTTTTAGTTTGCAAATGATGTTAATGTCTGCATAAAATCAGTTTAGTTTTTTATTATATATCTATAGAGACTGATAAAATTGCAAGCCCTTTTAATATATTTGTTACAAGAAAATTGTAAACTTACAAGGGTATACAATAGTATTTACTTAAATGATAAATAACATAAACTATAGAAAGTATAAATAGAATTTAATAAAAAATTAAAAGGTTTTATTTATTTTCAACTACTTTAATTAGCAATTAGTTTCCTAATTTTTATTTAAAATTGCTATGTTAATACATTTTCAAATGCTGGTATACTTTTATTAATTTTGTTTTATATGATTTTATATATGTTAGTGATATTATGTTTAAGAGTTTTTAATTTTGTTATTTGTTTAGCATTTATTTTACTCTACTTTCAAAACATTTTGAGTCTAAGTAAAATTTTAAAATTAGGTTTTTTAGTTAAGCCATGTAAGTCATTTTTTAATCTGTATTGTGTTAATCTGTATTTTAAAATATTTATTTGTTATTTTAGAATACTGTAGAAATAAAATTAGAATAAAATAAAAACTAGAAGAGACTAATCACATCTTAATCATATTGTTCTTCTAACATTGCTTCACTGGATATATTTTATTTATAAAGTTAGCAAATTTTGAAATTATATTTTTAAAGCTTATGCAATTTGAAAGAAACTACTTTTAATGAAACTTAAAGCAAGTAGCATGCAAGCTGTTAATTGAGTTGTTAATGATATATTCTCTGTATAGTACTGCCTGTTCATGAAGTGAATAATAGTAAAAGCGAATGGGAATACCAGCTGTTAAATCGTCCATTGAAATTATTAGCTTCGCAATGACGAAAAAGATAATTCTTTTATAAAAAAAGATGGATTATTGATAGTTGTCTTATTTAAGAACTGCTAAGGTGCATGGAGGGACAGCTAGGATGCATTTGATCCATTCAAAAGTATCCCAAAACACAAATTTAAAATTAAAAAAAAAAACTACTGAATAAATAAAGTTTTCAGAATGATTTAAAATTAGTTCCAGTTATTAAAGCAGTTTTTAAGATTAAAAATCTACAATTTTTTAAGCATAAATTAATACATTTTAAAACTTCACGACTAGATTTGTTTAATAAAATCTTCGCGGATTCACTCAGAACAGAAATAGGAATTTTAACCAAACCAGATTGTGAAAATGCCACAAATCAATTTTTTTATTGTGTCTCTATTTATTAATGAATCTGATTATTTTTTTTCTCTAAATAAGTCTTTTTAAATTTTGAATATTATTATTAGCTTTAATTCTGATGATTTTCAGGGCATTTTTTACTTAGCAACTAATTTAAAATAAGTTGTAGGTATTGAATGACAGATCCAGGATTTTTTGGTAATTGAGATAGCTAACTTCCAGACAGGAGCAAACTCCAAACATAAGTATGTTTATACTTATATCAAATAATTAGTCTATTCAAAAAATTGCGATGATTGGAGGCAGGTTACAAAAAAGCCCTTGAAGTTTTTTACCCCCTATCCTCCTTACCCTAAACGTGAGGGGCAACAATTTGATAAAAAAATTTTGTACTTTTATCAATTAGATTTATATTCATCAATAAATTTCAAGTTTTATAGTATTATCTCTCAGCGATCAAAAATTATGACCATATAAAATTGTAACCCCCTCATATTGAGGGGGTTTAAACTTTATATGGTCATAATTTTTGAACGCTCAGAGATAATACTCTGAAACTTGAAGTTTATCAATGAATATAAAATCTAATTGAGAAAAGTACAAAAAATTTTTTTTCAAGTATAAAAAAATATATTTTTTTCAAGTTGTTGCCCCTCATGTTTGATTTATGAAGTCAAATGGCTTTTTCGGTCCATGCCTCCATTCGTCGCAATTTTTTGCACAGTCACATTATTTGACATAAGTATAAACATACTACTAATTGGAGATTGCTCTATGTATGAAAGTTAGCTATCTCAATCACCAAAAGATCCTGGATCTGTCACTGGGTATATTGGAGTAACTATATCTGAACCAAGATTTTAATATTTTCTTTTGGGATTTTTAATTCTTTTTACATTTTAAATTTATTTCAATACTGAAGATTTTACCTATATTTTTGATTTACTATTATTTTTCATTTTTCTACCAAAAAAAATGTATTTTTAATTTTAAAATCGTTTAACAAATTTAATTTAATTAAAAAAAAGTTTTAAAAAAGTTTTATTTTTTAAGCAAATAATATAATTTTTTTTCCATGTGGGAAGGGAGAAGAAGTTTTTAGCTCTCTTTAATTAAACTAAAGCTTAAAAATTTTCAAACAAATTCACTGAATTGAACTAGTTTTGTGTTAAGGGCTCGTCCATAAATTACGTCACGCTGTAGGGGGAGGAGGGGAGGGGTTGGTGGTTTTGTGACAACTCATACAAAACTTGATTCTTAAGTATTGCAATTTTGTGATGAGGAGGGGGAGGGGGGAGGTCAAAATTGGTTAAAAATTGCGTGACGTAGTTTATCGACGACCCCTAACTAGTTTTTAGAAAACAAAGAGCTTATTTAATTTTAAAAAAATGTATAAATGGCCTTATTTTTAAACCTTGCTAATTCAAAGAGCATAGTTATTCATTTAGTTTGTAAAAACTAACTTTATTCACTCTGTTTTTTAAGTTAGTCCCTGAGAATGAACTTTTTTTTGTACTCGTTCCTAATAAAACGCATTTTCGTACATGTCTTTATAAATGCTGTTAAAGTGTAAATTTATAGTATTTGTAAAAATAAGGATTACATTTTATGTCTTGTAATATGTCAGAACACAGTTAATCTTTTGGTTTACAAAATTTAAAGTTATTTTTGAATCAGCAGTAGATAAAGAAACAAATAATTTTTATTTTTCTTATTTTGTCCCCAAATAAGCACATTTTTTGCATAACCCCGAAAATAAAAATTTTTCTGCTTGTTTTTATAATGAAATTTATTAATTAAGCTACAGTATTTGTTAAAATATAAGTTACATGCTATGTCTTCTTACGCCACAGGTCGCAGTGAATCTATTGGTTTGCAAAAATTAAAATCATTTTCGAATCAGCGCTATAGTAACGCACATTTTTTTACTGGTCCCCGAAAATACATATTTTTTTGCATATTATTATAATAAAATTGAAAAAATTAAAAAATTACAATATTTGTAAAAATATAAATTATATGCTATGTCTTTTCATGTCAGAGCGCAGTGAACCTATTGGTTTGCAAGAATTAAAATCAATTTTATATCGGCGCTATAATGATTTTTTAAACTAAACTAGTTTTTAGTTGGTCCTTAAAAATACACATTTTTTTACTGGTCCCCATAAATGCATAAATTTTTGCATGCCTTTATAATAAAGTTTAAGAAAAAAAACTGCAGTATTTGTAAAAATATAAATTATATACTACGTCTTGTAATATCACAGAGCGCAGTGAATCTATAGCGCAGTGGTTTGCAAGAATTAAAGTCATTTTTAAATCTGCGCTATAATAATTTTTAAACTAAACTTGTTTTTTAGTTGGTCCCCGAAAATGCACATTTTTTTACTGGTCCCCAAATATACATCGTTTTTTGTATGTTATTATAATAAAACTAAAAAAAAATTACAATATTTGAGAAAATATAAATTATATGCTATGTCTTGTCATGTCACAGAGCGCAGTGAACCTATTGGTTTGCAAGAATTAAAGTCATTTTTAAATAAGCGCTACAGTAATTTTTTAAACTAAACTTGTTTTTTAGTTGGTCCCCGAAAATACATATTTTTTTGCATGTTATTATAACAAAATTGAAAAAAAAATTACAATATTTTTAAAAATATAAATTATATGCTATGTCTTGTTACGTTACAGAGCGCATGGTTTGCAAGAATTAAAATCAATTTTATATTGACGCTATAGTAATTTTTTAAACTAAACTTGTTTTTTAGTTGGTCCCCGAAAATGCACATTTTTTTACTGGTCCCCGAAAATGCATATTTTTTTGCATGTCTTTCTAATAAAATTTAAGAAAAAAAATTGCAGTATTTGTAAAAATATAAATTATATACTACGTCTTGCCATATCACAGAGTCAGTGAACCTATTGGTTTGCAAGAATTAAAGTCATTTTTAAATTAGCGCTTTAGTCATTTTTTAAACTAAACTTGTTTTTTAGTTTGTCCCCGAAAATGCACATTTTTGTACTGCTCCCCGAAAATACATATTTTTTTGCATGTTATTATAATAAAATTAAAAAAAAAATTACAGTATTTGTAAAAATATAAATTATATACTATGTCTTGACATATCACAGAGTCAGTGAACCTATTGGTTTGCAAGAATTAAAGTCATTTTTAAATCAGCGCTATAGTCATTTTTTAAACTAAACTTGTTTTTTAGTTTGTCCCCGAAAATGCACATTTTTTTTCTGGTTCACGAAAATGCATAATTTTTTGCATGTCTTTATAAGGAAATAAAGTATAATATATCAGAAGAAATAACATTTTTTATTCGTGTATCTAGGCCTTCTCATCCGTGTCATTTCATTCGTGTATCTAGGCAATATCATTTTTATATAAAAAATAATTATTTCTAAATTATGCGTTTCAGTCAAATGATTAGTTATAAGACTTTTTTATTTTATTTCTACATTGATTTTAAGAGAGCATTTCAATAGCAAGTTATAATTGGACGTATTTTTGATGGTGTAAGATAAATTTTTGCCGCTGGTATATTTAATTGTAGACTTTTTTTTCAAATGTGCTCAGAAATGTTATTCAAATTTGTTATTTATTTGAGTGTTGCGATCAAGTAACGCTAGATAAACACGTTGAAAAAAATCTGAGATTAAATAATTTTTAATATACTTTATGCGTCTATCTTTGTTGTCAATTTTTATGGAGTTAAACCTAATTTTTGAAGAGCGACCTTAGGTACAACAGCTTGTGATTTTAGTTTCAATTAAAAAATTATTGTACCTAGAGCCACAAATTATTAGGCGCTTTTACATGACGGAGATCTATAATTCAATACTTTATACTTATATTAATACAAATTAATTAATATAGAGATGTGATCATATCAGTTTCGCTATTTTTAAACAAGCCTTGAGTTTAGACATTCAATAAATCCGTTAAAAAATCCTTGTGCGATTTTTTTAAAACCATCGTCTAAATTTAAAAGATTTAGGTTTGTGTAAACTTTTTTTTTTTTAATGAATTGCTAATTTAATTTGATTAAAGTTCATAAATGGCTTCCTTGTTATGACTTGTTCTGTCAAAGAGCATAATCAAGGGAACTGTGTTAACTAAATTAAACAAACTTTATTTTGTCTTTAAAAATAAAGCCGATCTTGATACCAAAACTAGTAAAAACAGGCGCTCTAACTACTGAGCTTTAACTGGAAATTTTTTATAGCTGGAGTGGCTATAAAATTGTCAAAAAAATTCTAAATTCTTATACTTTGGTTTGCAAAATGTAAGTCATTTTTAAAATGACGCTAAAGATACTAATTTTTTTTAAATTAAGTTTGTTTTACTATTTGTCCCCGAAAATGCACATTTTTATGCATGTCCCCGAAAAAACACATTTTATTGTAGGTCCCCGTAAATGACCATTTTATGTTTAAAAAATTTACGGGGACCATTTTTTACAAAAAATTTATATATTTAGTTGTCATTAAGACTATAAATTAACCTCATGTTGCCGTGTAAAAAAAAAAAAAGAAAAAAAATTTTAAACAAAGTTTTCATAGAAAATTCTTAAATTCAAATTTGTCCCCGAAAATGCACATTTTTACAATGTCCCCGTTAATGATCAAAAAGGAGTGTATATATATATATATATATATATATATATATATATATATATATATATATATATATATACATATATTGCCTACGCCTAATATAAATATATATAAGAGTATTAATATGTGAATATTGATATTATTGGTTTTTTATATGTTTCTTATCATTTAAAAAGTTTATAAACTTCAAAAAAAATTAAGTAATTAAATCAATCAAACAGTTAAAGTCAATGAAAAAATTAAAATCAATCAAACAGTAAAAATGAATGAAATAATTAAATTAATGAAACAGTTAAAATATATTAAAAAATTAAAATCAATTAAATAGTTAAAATCAAATAAATAACTAAACAACAAAAATCAAACAATTAAACCATCGACTAGTCATTAACCTCAATAAAACCAATAAAATTAAAGCAAACATAAAAAAAAATTCATAGACATAAATTTAAAGAGGAAATTTTTATACACATTTATCTAGTGTCACAATGAACTAGAGTCATAAAAACAAAACCCCCTTTTGAAAATGGCATCATGATTGCTTTAGAAATAAGTTCTTCTTTTTTAAAAACAGATTCAGTATAATTATCAATCGTAGATATAAAAAAATATGTTGTATGTGGAAGACAAGTCTGGTTCATTAAAATAAGTATTTTAATTTAATTAACCTTCCAAGGTACATATCTTCACTAAGCTTTTTGGTTATAATCGTGAACCCAGATTTTGCAATTAAAAAAACACTATTTTTTTTCCCTGTACCAATTTTAGTTGTTTTTTTTTGAGTTGTTACATTTTCATTGAGTTGTAATTTTTCCTCTAATCTTTTGACAGCCTGAGATATAGCATATCTTCCTGAGTGCACAACTTTTTTTAAACATCCTAAGTAATTTTCAAATGGATAAGCAGATAGCTCGTTTAAAGTCTTATTATGATTTAAAACATCATCAGCTATATGTATTAGAGAATGGACATTATAAGATGAAAAAGTCTCTCCATAGAGTAAAATAGCCTCATTAGTAAACCAATAAAATAACTTTTTAGAAAATATAACATAACGTTATTGTTTACTGAAAATATCAGAAAGAAGTATACGTGTAGCAATTGACAAAGACAGAAACAAATTGTATTCTTTTCCAGAGATCTTACCTTTTAGTACAACTAATCCAGAATACAGAAGAAAGAAACGAAACTCTACAGCCTTAAAATATAATAAGTCATCTAGTTTTCTTGCAGTACGTTGAAATTCTGAAGGGGTACTTTCTGCAATATGAAGCATCTCAGCTGATATTTGATCAATTATATTTTGGTTTAATCTATGGATTGATGATCTTCTCACCCAGTTTTGTAATAATCTTTTAACAACTCCTAAACATATCAGATGCATATAATCTAATACAAAACCACTTACCATAGGAAAGTTTAAAGAAAGTAAAGGAGAGAGTGGTTTGTGTTGATGTAAATCATAAACACCACATCTAAACTTAGCATCTGTTCTAATTGGTGCTGATGTACCCAATAGCCTTACACCTTGTGTATATATACCATGCTCTTCACATCTTTCACAAGACTTGTATCCGCTATGACCTTGAATACACTTTAAAAATGCTCTTGCTGGAGCGTCACATATAAAAGCCGTTAAACAGACAGGAAAATAAATATTATTATGTTCATACCCTTTACTTAACAAATGTTTCATTTCTTCAATAAACTCTTGAAGGTAGCAAGAAATATTGTTAGGCTTAATTTCCCCATACCACAGAGCAACCAAATATGGAGAACTTTGATTAATTTTGATTAAAATTGGCCAAAACAATTTGCATTGACTTGAGTATACCCTCACTCCATCTATATTAACTGTCAGCTCTAAAACCTTCTTTACACCTTTTGTGCAATTTAAATAATGTATTAAAACACTAGCTACTGTTAGATATATGAAATCGCCACCAGCTTTTTTAATAACATTCACATCATGTAACGTTTTCTTTAATGTTCTATTATCTCTTGGTAAACCTGGTATAACACTATTTAAATGAATTAAAAGCTCATTTAAGGGTGCAGTTTTAATGTTATGCTTTAAGGACCACGTTCGAAGAAAAGATATGGTGGTTACATCTTGATTTTCTATTTCCATATTTTCATTCACATTTGTTTCACTGCTGATTAGTTTTTCACTATCTGAGGAATCAATACCAAAGGGAACGCTGTCATCTTCATTTGATAAAATATAATTACAGGAAAGATTATTTATGCTGTCAGAGTCAGAGGAATAACAATTTATCAAATTTTGCTCAGCACAGACACTATTTTTAACTGATTGTTGATGATTCGTTTCAATTGGAATTTCCTTAATGTTGTTGCCTACTGTAAAATCTACTGAAGTTGAAGCTACTGAAGTTGAAGCTGGTAAAGAAACTTTTTTTTCTTTATAATCTTCTTTTAACAAATCTTTAATCAATCTATTGTTTTTGCGCCAGTCTCTCATGTAATGCTTAAATAACTACTTCGAGTGTTTTTTTTAAACATAATCAGTCGTAAATTTATCAAAATATAGAAATTAAATAAAGATTTGCTACAATTTTAATAATTTTATTATGAAATAAAAATCAAACGCTTATCAGAATGTTCAAAAAATTTAACTGATTATATTTACCAAGCATAAGCGTGCTAAGTAACGTTTTGTCAGCGTTGAAATCACGACAAAGCAACAGTGTTTTGATAACGGTCGTAAACGGCGATTTTAACACCGTTGGTTGAATGCTATTAATTCGTTGATCACCGTTGATCACCAATCAACTTCATCGGATCAACGTTGAATCAACAGTGATGTGCACAACGGGTAACTTTGATATGTTTTTAAAATAGTATTAGGAGATATAAGGTTTTTAAAAAACCAGGTATAATTTTAATCACTTAGCAACGCCTTAGCAACGCCAAGCAAGACTTGGTTTTGCACAAAAATTTAGTAATATATCCATGTTTTTAAAACAGGGGATCGCATTGAATCTTACAAATAAGTTTTTTTTTATAAAATGCCTTAAATCCATTAGCTAAAATCACATTATTTTCATTAAATCACAACTGCAAGTTTCAAATTTTAAAGTGAAGTAGACACCTAACTTCAAATACAATAATTGATTGTTTGGTGCTGTTCCGTATTTATTTATTTTATTTAGAATTATAAAAACATTTATTAAGTATATTAGTTGGTTTTTAAAAATGCCAAAGTCTTTAAAAGCAAAGAAAAAGATGAAGTTTAAAGGTAACAGATTCACAAAAAACAACAAGCTTCATGATAAAACCATGCAAATCGAAAAACCTTGTTCAAGTAAAAGAAAACTTAGAAAGAAAAAATGCAGTAGTTCATTTAGTAACAACGATGATTATAACATTTTAATAAACTTTTCAATTCTTCAGAATGAGCTTGTAAAATTTATTTTTTGTCCTAAATGTAAGAAAACAGTAACTTTATCAAACAATTTCAAAAAAAAAAGGGATTTTCTTATCTTCTATGTTTGAATTGCACAAATTGTGACTGGAAATATGAATTTGAAAGCTCACAGAAAACAAATAAACTTACTTTAGGAAAAGCTGTAAGTTGCATTAATTATCAAATGGTTATAGCTTTTCGTAAGATTGGTCAAGGTTATCAGGGAATCCGTACATTTGCTAACATTATGAACATGCCAACACCAATATCATTTCCTGGATATTAATTAATAAATAATAAATTACATACTTTTTATAACGATGCAGTTTCAGAAAGCATGAGCAATGCAGCTTTAGAAATAAAGAGTTTACTTGCTACCAATACTTTTGATAACAATAGCATTCAAAGTATGAAGGGAAAAAAACTAAGTAATGGAAAAAAATTAAATGGGGCAGGAAGATTGACAGATAAAGTTATAAATAAACTTCAAAATTATTATGGAATGGCAATTAGGCAGAATAAACTATTATACCCAATGAAGAAATCTGTTTGGACTGTGTTATTTCATAATAGTAATATAAGTAATCCCATCGAACGCCATCAATTCTGCCCTCAATCCAAAAACAGTTGGTGCTTGTGGCAAACAGATAGATTTAATAATCAAAACAAATACAAACCCACATTAAATATACCATTGTCAATCAAAGATGCTCCTTCCCAATTTTTCTTGATCTTTCAAGTGATGAGTTACTTTCCAAATGTTTACACGAACAAAACCAAATTAACAATGAGGCTATAAATTCTATCATATGGAAAAAATGCCCTAAAAAGATTTTTGTTGGAAAAAAGGTTTTGGAGATTGAAGTTTGATCTGCAATACTACAGTTTAATGAAGGTGCTACTGCCCAGCAAACATGTCAGCGTTGAATCAACGTTGAAAACCAGTCGCAAAAGATGTTGCGGAAACGTTGACAAAGTAATCGATTTGCAAAGATATGTGACGTTGTTAAAGAGACGTTGATTAAACGTTGTAGCGTAACGTTGAAAAAACGTAACTAACAGACGTTACAAAAATGTCTCAACTAAACGTTGAAAAAGCGTTACTTAAAAAGCGTTGCATAGGCGCCGCAACTTAACGTTGAAAAAACGTTACTTGAAAAGCGTTACTTTAACGTTGTTAAAGCAGTTGATTTTGCAAGGATTTGTAACATTGGTAGTAAAACGTCGATTTAACGTGACTCAAAGACGTCGAGTAAAGGTTGAAATATAACGTTAAATCAACGCTCAAATGCGCTGGAGAAAATATCGCAAAATATTATTAAACGTGATTAAACTTGATTATAATGTATATTGAATTTGCAAATAAAACAAAATTGTATGTTGAACTCTGCACTTGCAATATTTCCAAAGTCGATTTTTAATACAAATAGTAATATACAATGAAAAACATAAAAAATATACAATTTATTTATATAAAATTTACAATTTATAGATAAAAATATAAACAACTTTTTTAAGATTTATGTGTGTGAGTGAATTTACAGGATATCGTATCGATAATCCAGGATATCATTGAGATACAGAATCTAAATCAAAAAAATAAAACTTGTATCATTATCAATCTGAAAGCAAATGTTTAAAAAATGTTATTGAATTAGTATAATTATTATTAAATTTAAAAAGTAAAATTAAATATATATATATATATATATATATATATATATATATATATATATATATATATATATATATATATATATAAATTAAATATATATATATATATATATATTGTAATTGTCGTAATAGCATAAAATAAGTAATTGTTTTTAAAAGTAACACGACGTTTTTTATTCTTGAAATGTTTTGTAGTAAACAACTGGGGTTGATATTTGACTAGGGCCGGGGCCGGGTTTGATAAAATATAGCCAAGGCCAGGGCCGGGTTTGAGACCAGGCTGCATAAACATTTATACATCCTAAAGTATATTTTTTAAAATTAAAATTCATGCTATATTTTGTATATATATGCATATATGAACATCATTGTGATCAACATGATCATCATAATCATCATAACTATCATCATCATCATCATCATCATCATCATCATCATCATCATAATTATCATGATCACCAACAGCATAAAAGCAGAAGGCTTGACAATGATAATAAAAATTATGTTGATGTTGTTGATCGTCATCATGATAATCATCATCATCTTTATTATGGCACTATGTAAGACACACTCTTCAAATTTTCTTACATCTACCACAACCATTTTATACTGAAGCTGCTCCACTCTACATGTTAACACCTGAATTACTTTAACTTTTTCTAAAAAAAAAGGTTGTTTGATACAACGTTTTTTCTAATCTGTAAGTTTTTTATAATTCTAAGATTATGCCTACTTTTTATATCTTGTTAGAGTCACATCACACATCCATCTGATCATTTTCTCTTTCGGCAAATACTACACTATATAAATACTAAAGTTTACACAACAATGAAAGGATAATGTATGCCAGCATCTAAACAAATAGCAAAGAAATATACTTATATCCATAATATGTGTGCAAAAAGTGCATCTTGAAAGCTTATATTGCTTCTGGAATAAATGTTTGGAAG